CTAACCTCATAGCCTTCTATGAGGAAATTACTAGGTGGATAGATGATGGTAGAGCGGTAGGTGTGGTTTATCTTGATTTCAGTAAAGCATTTGACACCGTCTCCCACAGCATCCTTGTAGATAAGTTGATCAAGTATGGGTTTGGTGATCAGGTAGTGAGGTGGATTAGGAACTGGTTGAAAGGAAGGAGTCAGAGAGTTGTAGTCAATGGGGCAGAATATGGTTGGAGGTGTGTGACTAGTGGAGTCCCTCAGGGGTCGGTACTAGGACCGGTGTTGTTCAACATCTTCATCAACGACCTGGATGAGGGTATAGAATGTACCCTCAGCAAGTTTGCTGATGACACTAAGCTGGGAGGAGTGGCTGACACACCAGAAGGCTGTGCTGCCATTCAGAGAGACTTAGATAGGTTGGAGAGTTGGGCGGGGAGAAACATGATGAAATTCAACAAGGGGAAGTGCAGAGTTTTACATTTGGGGAAGAACAACACCATGTCCCAGTACAGGTTGGGGGCTGAACTGCTGGAGAGTAGTGTAGGTGAAAGAGACCTGGGGGTCCTGGTAGACAGGAGGATGACCATGAGCCAGCAATGTGCCCTTGTGGCCAAGAAGGCCAATGGCATCCTGGGGTGCATTAGAAAGGGTGTGGTTAGTAGGTCAAGAGAGGTTCTCCTCCCCCTCTATTCTGCATTGGTGAGGCCACATCTGGAGTATTGTGTCCAGTTCTGGGCCCCTCAGTTCAAGAAGGACAGGGAACTGCTTGAAAGAGTCCAGCACAGAGCTACAAAGATGATGAAGGGAGTGGAACATCTGCCTTATGAGGAAAGGCTGAGGGAGCTGAGTCTCTTTAGCTTGGAGAAAAGGAGACTGAGGGGTGACCTCATCAATGTTTACAAATATGTAAGGGGTGAGTGTCAGGGGGACGGAGTTAGGCTTTTCTCAGTGATGACCAGTGATAGGACAAGGGGTAATGGGTGTAAATTGGAGCATAGGAGGTTCAAGGTGAATATCCGAAAAAATTTTTTTCCTGTAAGAGTGACAGAGCCCTGGAACAGGCTGCCCAGGGAGGTTGTGGAGTCTCCTTCACTGGAGACATTCAAAACCCACCTGGATGCGTTCCTGTGTGATGTACTCTAGGTGACCCTGCTCTGGCAGGGGGATTGGACTAGATGATCTTTCGAGGTCCCTTCCAGCCCCTAAGATTCTATGATTCTATGAATCATCCCTGACATTTATTCCTTTCCCTCACAGAGTATGCAATGGATCATTCTCACAAGGGACATATGCAGCTTCTCACACTGGAGGGAAGTGCATATAAGTATCAGTAGAGCATGTTTGAACCTTTAGTAGCAAAATAGACAACATTTTCTATATAGTGTTTTTTTTTGCATCTGTGTTCTTCCCAAATAAGACATCAGACTCAGCTTGGAATCCACGTGCAACTTAGGTCACTGGTGCACCTTAGATAAACAATGATTCTAAGATTCTTTTCCTTAAAGCAGTCTAAGCAAATCTGATTTTTTTATATTTAGTAACTGTATTGGTTAGCAAGGCTTGTGTGCTAATGGCTGGTTAGATATCTCTCATGAAGTTTTTGTTTTCCTACTAATTTCCCACTGATCTGCTGGCATCTGAATTCCTTTAAATTTGCTAGATCTATGATGAACCATAAGCTTCAGCAATGAAATAACTGAACCCAGGAAAAAGAATATTTGTTGCTCCAGCAGACACAGACAGCATCTATGTGACTTACTCAGTTTCCATATGCAATTTTTTTGCAAGCTCTTAAGTATCTGATTCTCTTCTGGGTAAGAGGTGCTTATACTAGTAAGATAAAATTGTAGTTTATGTGAGTAATCTGAGAATTTTGATAAAGTGGCTCACACTTCATCTTTGTCTTCTAGCAATACAAGAAATTAGTGTCAGTTCCCATCAGGTCCCTGACAGTGACTTGTCAGGGAAATAAATTTTATTTCTCTCCTTAGGTTTTTGTTTCCTGAACAACTGGTAAAATAATTCTTAAAGGTTTTAAAAATCAAAATTGTAACAAACTAGTGGTATGAGACAAAGCTTTAAATAATAAAACTCTGAAGAAGAAGAGCTTTACAAGCAAGAACAGAGCATTGAGATTCCTAACTTTGTGAAGAAATCCCAGTTTTGAGCAAGTAAATTTTCTCATGCTTCTATGTGGGGATATTATCTGCAAGATGTTACTTATCTGTCAAACATATACTTTTATTTCTAGTTTCCAATTTAATTTCCCTCTGTGTGTACTGTCTTGAATCACTTTGAATACTTTTCATTGGATACTTGTCAGGTACATCTAACTCTTCTTTGGTGGGTGCCTAGGGTTCATATCTCTCTTACAGTATGCTAGACAGACTCTCCTGCTTGCAGTTAGCAGCCTGTTTCTCACATTCCAGAGATCAACAGGAGTCTCTGTAGCTGAAATGCTAGTTTTCCCATTGCTCTTTTTATAGACATGCCAATTGTACTAACTACTTCTTTAGTGACTTGAGAAGGCTCAAGCAAATGAGCCATCTACAAAATATCTGTTTTTAAATGCAATTGCTCTTGCTTCAGAAAGCAAAAGACTGAATCATCTGCACTTCTTACACACATCTACTTGCTACTGCCTCTCTTCTCTCTATGTCCCAGAATTTTCTATATTTCTGGGAATTTGTTTCTTTTGGACCATGTCTCTTGTCCTTGCAGTTAGTGTGCATCATGTTGGCTCAAGGATACAGCCTCTACTTTTAAAGAACTATACCAGCAACTGATTTGGAAGAATGTGGTTGCTCTGTTTTTTCATTCTTTCAGGTACCATCACTCAAGCTGTTTAATATTCCTTCTGTTTTTATTTTTCTTCTTGGGACTGAAGAAATACACCAGTTTTAGGGGGCTCCATTGGAGACCATAAGTTAGCCATTTTGATGCTGAATTGGATCTTGTTTCACTGAAGAGAGGCAGATATGAATGTATATTTCTACTTTGGACTGGTGCTCAGGAAATAAAATAAGACTTAGAAGTCAAATGCAGTACAGAGCTTGTGAATCAGTAAGTTATGCCTAAAGACTTGCAGAATCACTTTTTTTTTTTTTTCCCCCCATTTCAGTGTTTGCTATGAGAACAGATACTTGAACAAAACAGTCAAAGAACTAAAAGCATTTTTTCTCTTGAGGGTATGTAGTGAAATGTTCTCACCGAAGTTTCTATTTCTTCATTTTATTTTTTAAAAGTTTGCAGCTCTAAATGGTGTGATAGGTACTTTCCTGACTCTTTCCTTTATTTTTCTCCTCAAACTTAGAATTATTTTCAGGCTGACTTTTAAAATGTTATTTAAAAACAAATCACTTAAATTTATTGTTCACTGGCTACTTTTACTAAGGCTGGTAGTATTCTTATGTAAAACCATTCTGTTGACAGATACTGACCTGATGCAGGATGCTAAGGAGTCCTTCCAGACTCAAGCAGGAGGTAGTTTGCTAATTCATCATTAAGGGCAAAGGGGAATAGGAGCTTATATTTGGAAGGAATAAGGCTGTTAAGAGCCTACATCAAGCTATCTTTGAGAATAATCTTAGCAATATGGAAGTACAGTGGGAGTGTTTGTGCAGGATTTGGGAATTTTTTCTTTTATTAAGTACATTAAGCAGATAAAACTCCTGGGAAGAGGCAAAATTTAATCCTTTGGCAGACCTTACTGTGCAGTCAGTTTGGTAGCTCTGTGTTCTTGCTGCTTTTCTCTTTAATAAGCCTTCTGTGGACATCAGTTTCTAGTCTTTCCTTGTTTGTGTGTATATAATGATAAGAAGTTTAAATTTAGGCCCAAGAGCTTTTATTTTAACATCTGTTAATGTTTCTTCTTTTAAATGCTCAGAATCAAGATAGTCTCACATATTGCTACTTTGTTTTACTTTTCCAAAATCAGTAACTTGAATTGTATTTATGTAACCTTAAATGTGCTTATGCTAAATGACTTTTTAATATTAATTTCTTTTTTTGATCTCTCTGATTTAACTTGAAGCCAAAAGACATTTTGGGATTAATTTTTCTTTTCAATTCAATTTTCAGTCAAACTGAAAAGATTTTATTGATACAAAACAGTGTAGCTAAAATTGCATATGAATTTCAATTATGGCAGATCTTTGGTTATTGCTTTTGGTAAAAGTATTTTTCCAGGTGAAACTCTGTGTCAAGGCTGTTACCTCAACAAATGTATCTATTGATTGCTTTTGTGTTTTGCATTGAAATTATTTCAGCTTGGATCACTTAACAAACCCTTTTAGTAAAAATACAGACTGCCTTTGGAACTTTTTGTAGGCAATTGAAATTTTCAGTCAGATGCTTAGTGTAGTAGTTTGCATTTTTGTGCTTTTTAAAATGCTGAGAGAATGGAAAAGAAGGATGCAAGAGTTTAATTCAGAGAATCAGGTTTTGTTTAACCTATGTGTGCGTGTACAGGTGTTCTCCTGTGTAATGACATGTAGTAACTGACTAAAGTAGTCAGGATATTAATTAAAATAGATCATTAACATACTGATAATTGCTATATAAAAACATGGCAGAGAATAGTTACAGGTCAAGGAACACAGCAGTGAAAAGAAATAGTAGATTAGTGCTTTAAAAAATTACAGGGTTTACAGATTTTTGTTGTGGGGAAGCTATGTCTAGTCCAGGGCTGGTAAGAAATCTGTTCTGGGCAGCTTAGTTGCAAATTAAGTGCCAAAGCAATGTATTTTGAGAAATTCTGTATCTTCTCTGTGCTTCATCTGTCTTGTTGCTGAAATTGCAGATACTCTTTTGATAATCCATTGTATTTTGGAACATACAGGATGTTGTTATGGTAACTCAGGTGACAACCTTGGTGTTATGAGAACAAGAAAATTGTAGGATAGTAGGAATAGTGTATGGAGTCCTAATACACTGAGTGAACAGAATAGTCTTTGTGTCATGTTTGCTATCTTTCTGGACTTATATTTCTTCGAAATATACTTTTAGGCAGCTACAGTGAGAATAAAGAAACTGGAAGAAAACATTGAAGTAGAGAGAGCAGCGCATTTGGAATCCAAATTAAATTCAGAGCTTATCCAGGTAAACTTTTTGTTAAATATTTTGTAGAAGTTGAAGTAACACAGGTGATAAAGTTGTAAAGATAAAATCTTCTAAAAATGTAAGACTACCTACTTGCTTCAGTGAAAATACTGAATAGTTTTTTTTGCAGCAAGTGTTAAAATTGTAATAGTTAATAGATGAAATGAGAGAATAGAAAATATCTGCTTTTCAGAGAATATTAATGTTGTTAGAATAAGGAATAAAATATAACACTTGTAAGTTTGGGAATCCCCACTAGCATTTCAACAGTGAGGGGAAAGGACATTTCAAAATAGTTAAACACTGTATCACTGTTTAAATATCCTGCCCTGTATCTTTTGAATGGACACTTAAAGCTGTTTGGAGATACAGTGCATACATCCAGCTTCTCTAGGAGTGAGAGCTTAATGCATCACAGAATCACAGAATTATAGGGGTTGGAAGGGACCTCTGAAGATATCTAGTCCATCACTCTTGCTGGAGTAGGATCACCTACAGTAGGGCACACAGGAGTATGACCAAATGAGTTTTGAAAGTCTCCAGAGACAGAGACTTCACAATCTCTCTGGGCAGCTTGTTCCAGAGCTCTGTTACCCTCAGTATTTTTTCCTTATGTTTAGGTTGAACCTCCTGTGTTCCAGTTTCTGACCATTGCCCCTTGTCACTGACCGTCACTGGGAAGAATCTGGTCTCATTCATACTCCTGACACCTGCTTTTCGAATGAGTTCCCCCCTTTCTGAAACTGCAGATCCAAATATAATAATTCAGAGTACATTTCAGCTTCAAACAAAATAATAGTGTCTGCAGCTATCAATACATTTTGATTCCATGAAAAAATGTGGTACATACATTGAATACCGAGTCTGTCTATCATTGGACTGCATAACATGGGGTTTGACCCAGTAAGGCAGTTATGGTTTATTTTAAGAAGCAAATTTTAAAAAGCTAAGTGACGACTGCTTAGTAATCTCATCCTAACTAAGAAGCCCTTCACACTGGACTTCTGAAAAACTAAGCAAAGAAAAAAAAAGGAGTTTTGGTATCTTTTCTCTGTGTTAAAAAAATTGGTATTGCCATTCTTCAGTCAGTTATTTTCTTGATCTCATAACCTTCTCTATATACAGGCACTTGAATTTTTTAAAGTGACAATTAAACAAGTAGAAAGGAAAGATTTCATATTTTTCATTTCTTCTCTCCACTTTTATAACATATGAAGGAACATGGAGGTTAACATTCCTTAAATTCCTTATCTTTTATGGGTACTTGTAAGATTTGCTTCCTTGTTCATGTAGATGAACAAGCTTCAAGTGTGCTTTGTACTGAGTGGAAGTGTAGCCTTCACTGGTAATTCCACACTTACATGCATCTACTTAAAAAGTAGCGTTTCCCACATAAACTTTAGTAATAATTGAAAGAGGAGAAATCCAGACACCACAAAAGGAGAATAAAAGGTACTTTTGGTCAGCATATGTTTGTTTCAGTTTTGAACTGTAGGCATTCATACACTTGTACATGTGTACAATGCTTTCTGTAGATACGCTTCCACATAGAATAAATAGAATATAGTTACTTGTAAAGGAGAACAGGACACAGAACAGTATTAAAGACCATGAGTTTTTCCTAACTTGCTTCAATTGCCTTCTTGTCATTTGGTAGTTAAGAATTCAAGACCTTGAAGAAGCTTTACAGGTGGAAAAAGCCAGCCAAGCAAAAGCTCTTTCGGATTTAGAAACGATCAAGAAAGAGTTCAAAGAGGTAGAAAATGCATATGAGAGAGAAAAACACAATGCCCAAGAGAACGTGGAAAAACTCAATGTGTAAGTTACCTTTTAAATTAATTGTAAAATGGCAGTAGACAGTTTGAGTACCAATTACACTTTACATACTCTATAGTTTTCAGTCACTGGAAATCAACATCATCTGATGAAATTTGCCAAACCAAGACAAGCTTCAGAACCCGGCATTCCATTAGTAACAGGTCCATATCAGTAACCTTACGTATTAGGTAGAGAAAAAAGAAATTATAGATTATTTTCCAAAGCAAAAGTGTTGAACATAATAAGATTAGAAACACTGTCCCCTGTAGTGTTTGAGAGAGTGTAGGAAAACATGTTGCAGATTTATATAAGATACTTTCTGTATACACTTACATTATTATGAAAAATATTGCTTTTCAGTGAGCTAGATGAATCTTTAAAAGTTCTGTTGAGAACTTATGTAGAATTTATAGTGGATAATCTTTACTGTCAGCTTTCAAATAATTGTGGAAAGTTTTAACTTGGTAATGGAAAATAGAAAGGGGAAGTGTGTGAGAGAAGACAAAATTACTTGGGAGTCTTTTCTTGTTTAGCACAATCTGCTGTGACTTTTTTGGGGGCAGTTTTTGAAATAATGACAGTTTTACGTTCCCCAGGCAGATACAAGGTGCTGAGTACTGAGTCTTCTTCTCTGACTGAATCTAGTATTTATTGGGGTGAGAAAATGTCAGGAAGAAAAATGGTGTTGGAACTTGGGAATGGGTGAAATAAAGGATGGCAGTAGGTAAAGTTTAGGGAAAGGGGTGGAAGCAGACTTAAATTGGGTGGTGCACAGTGGGGGTGTGTGAGAGGCTCAAGGTAGTAGAATGGGTTGAAAAAAGAGAGGTGGCATCTCAGTTTAGGATTATACGAGTGTGTACGTATAGGTATTTATGTTGACTTACTCATACAAGCAATAGTGGCAAACAAAAGAAACTTCCATACAATAAGGAGGCCTGTAGGCCTGAGAGTCCTTCTATAGGCATGTTAGTAACATAGTTACAAACACCTTAGAGCTCTTCATTAAAATAAGGCCAAAAGAAGCCTGAATGTAAGATTGTGCATTTAGGTAAGCCAGAGTCATATTAAAAAAACCACAACAAACCACAAGCTTTTTTTGCTGGAAATAAATTGAATAATTTTTATGTTAAAAATTTGTGAAAATGTGTGAAATATATTATTATAGTAATTCAATGTGATACTTCAGGAAAACTGCAGTCTTCACAGCTGGGACAATTTCCAGATTCTCTATGGTTCTAAAATAGCATCACTGAATTAAACTGTAATCTCATCCTGCCTGGTAGTATTTGCTTTGAGCGTGAGCTCTATGGCAGCAACATGCTTGGCACTAATCTAAGTTCTTTGCCTTTCCTTGAGCTGAAGAAAGTCTGTACCATTGATTTGACATTTTATTTGTTTGGTTTCTTTTTGTTGTTTTGTTTTTAAAAAAAGCTTCTTTGTGTATAAAACAACCTTGTTCAGAGGAATGGCTGTTGGATCAGTAGTTTTATGTAGCAAGCTACTTCACACTGTGTGAGTTTTTCTTGTGTGTAACTTCTTATTCATACAGAGAAGGTGGTTTGGTGGGGTTTTTTTGTTTGTTCATTTGTTTTTCTGGTAGGTTTCTGTATTTGAGTGGTCCAGAAAATATGGAATAATCATGTTACAGATGAAGTCTTTCTCTTCCCTTTTGGCTAAAAAGTTTTCTTCAACTGGTGTTCTCCCAGTGCTTGTTCTTGAACTATTTCTTCAGTCTTTCCAAAGTCTAATATTTCAAGGTCCACCTTTGTTTTTGAGATTAGATCAGCCAAATTCACCAGCCCCAAATGCAACACAGACTTTTAAAATTTATTCATTTTTTAAAATTTGCTTGGTTGCTAATGCCTATTAAGCTGGAGTAGTTTTCAGTCTAGAAGAATCTCTCCTGTCTTGTAAAAATTGCTACCATGTCATGGCTTTCTGTGATCAGTCAGCTGTTAACCGTCTAAGAATCTTCAGATAACATTTACTCCTTCCTTCTGGAAGCTTTGGGAAACTTTCACCTGTTGTTTCTGGCCAAGCCCAAAAACCAGCCCTTGAATTGTATAAGCAGCTCATGTCTGTCATCATATCTGTTATTATGCCTCTTGCATTCTTAGAGAAGAAATGTGCATCTGACTGTAGCTTTTGCTTCTGAAGCTCAATGTAATGAGATTAATGATACTGTTAAATTTCAGGGTGCAGTCAGTCCATATGGGAATTGGCAGATATGTAGAAATTATATCTATGATTTTTTAAAGTACTTAACTTTGGAAATGCAGAACTGCAAAGTTTTTTGTCTTTGTAGCTCTTTAGAAAATGAATGTGAGTCTGAACACAAGTCATGGTTCAGCTTTGATGTAGTCACAAATAAAGGGTTAAAATTACAGAAGATTGCCTGTTCTGGTTTTATATTTTGATGTGAAGTATATGTGGAGTCATGAATTCTGCATAAATTAAATTTAAAAATACAGTAACATATTTTAGTGCTACATATGCACTAAAAATGTAAACGACATATCACACAAATATCCTAGGTCCTGAAAGGAGTGTTAATGAGGAGTGTACACTAGGAATTAGATGTTGGTAAAACAATTTGTTTCTCGTTTTTTAATATGTTTGACAATTTAATGCTTTTATTTGTATGTCTTCATCTGTTCTTTTTAACTTTCATCACAACTGTTCTCTCAGCTACTTCTTTCTATTCTAGTGAATTCTTTATTTTTTTGTTTCTATAAGATGTTTTATCTTAGAGATCTGTGCTCAGTAATAATTTTCAGCACAAGATCCTCTCATGAAGATTCCTTTTGGCCCCACAGAAAATTTCTAAAATATGAGTTCCTCATGGCAATTTTTTTAGAACAATTTTGCTTGGTTGACTTCATCATGCTAGATTCCAGCCCCCCAAAGTGGTATGCATGTACACTTGTTTCCTTAACAAACAATTAAAAGACCTTTTACCTTAAGGAACAGTCTTAAGAGTACTGCCTGCACATGGAATAATGCTGTCCAATTGTTACCATGTGGAGTCGCACTATCGTTTTAAGTGTTGAACATGAGCAACATTCAACAACTCTGTAATTTTTTTCTAATAATTTAGGAATTGCAAATTAGACTTCCTAAGCTAGTGACAGAGATGTGAGTCTTTAAAGGCAGAATTATTCTATTATTAGTAAGAACATGGTCTGAAAATCAAGGAGTGATAATAGAGATAAAATGTGAGATAATTAGAAGCATTTTTTATGGTAGCTGAAGCATCTGCTTAGGGATTTTCCAAACCATTAGAACTTTAGAAGTTTTTACATGGGATCTGCTTTTAAAATTCTAAACTAGTAAGATTAATTAAAAATTGCGAAAATCCATAAATAGTAATTTTCCAACTAAGTCTTTGAGATACTCTTAAAGATACTATTCTGTATTAGATTGTTCAGACCAGCATAAGGATAATGGTTAAATACTGAATCACATTGCTGCATGCAATGATTTGCTCCTTCTGAGAATCTTTTATCTAGATGGGTGAAACTATTTCTTTGAAAAGTGACAGTTTTTGTGTTTAGTGTAGTTCTAATCCATGAAAATATATTTTCAAAATTAAAAGAACTCTTAAGCAAAAACCTTATGCTAATATATATTATTTGGTTGTTAGTGGTTTATATATATGCATATCTGAATATATATATGTACTTGTTGCAGCTAAGGCTAGGAAATGGTTCTTAAGTGTTATGATACCAGTTGCATTAGGAACTTTGAATTTAGTGCTTACAGAGAAGTAGTTGTGTTACTAAAGTGCAAAAAGAACCATAAACAGCCTTCCCCTTTTCCTCTAATCTGGATTGTTCTGTCCGGTACTTTCCCAGGAGAGCAGATTTTTCCTATTTTGTTAGGTTTTTTTGGTACCAGAAAGAATTTGTGCCTACTAAAAGCATTTGTTCTGTATGTTATTTGATATCAGAATAAAATTTGTCTAATATCCAAACAGTACTTTTCACTCGCAATCATCTTTTGATTCAATTATTCCTAGCAGATTCTTCCAAATCAGTTTTTTGGAAACAAATGGGTTTTCATTGAATCCATGAAAACTAACACAGTTAAACAGTTAGTGGCTTTGTTAGTAGAGCTTGAACCAACAGAAACAGCCTATCCTTACAATTTTCTTAGTCCAGACACCTAACTTTCCAGAACTCTACAGAGATAGGTAGTAAAGATCAAGTTTTATCTCAGATGGACATCAATACACTGAGTTCCTCTGGGGTAATTACATGGAGTGGGCAGGAACTGCCTTGTCTGTTTCCTGTGCCTTTATATTCTTTGAAGCATGGAAGTATCAGTAACATTGGTGAATATCAGTGATTGCTTTTACTGGATTCCTTCAGAGAGAATACAAGAGCCTTTGATCTACTTACCTTTGAAGGCTGTGGTCCTTGGACTCCAGACAATGTCAGGCACTTGGCTTTTTCTTATAAGTCATTATTTGGTGTCCTAACATATTTTCCCTTTTTCTGGTGGAGTCCCATGAGTTTCTCTTTAAGCCTTAGTCTTTGGAAAGTCTTGGAGACTTTAATTTGTTGTACTAGAACACTTGCATGTCTTTTTAGCTTGACTTGGTGTAGGATAAAGAATACTGAAGCTGGAAGCTATACAAAGCTGTGAGAATGTATTTTCTCAGATTAAAAAAAGAAAAAAAAAAAAAAAGATGATTGTAGCAAATAAAACCAAGCAAACAAGCTTTTCTAGGTTTCATAATTTATTAATTAGCTCTGAACTCAGTAGCACTATGTAAATTGGAAACAGCATGGGATTTGCTTCTACGTGTGAACTCACTTTTCTTGAAGAGTGAGAGCATGACATAGAATAAATTGAAATTGCCTTTGCTGTGTTTCTGAAAGCTGTGGGAGTAGAAGCTACTTTGGGGGACTGAAACAGGCAAAATCTTTCTCTAAGAATAAGAAATAACCATCTACAGCTAAAAATAATAATTAAGCAGGCACACAGGTATTTAAAGGACTGACAAAGTAGTCTTTCAGCTAAAAAGATACATTCATCTATAAGTCAAAGTGAGGAACTGACAATATTGATTCAAAAGTTTGAATGTTGGGGGAACTTTAAGCCCTTTGCATTACTATCAATTCTAGTGAGACAGTAGTGATAGAAGAGATAAAGAAATAAGAGAAACTTGGATGTACTCACTGCTAAGAGTTACATCAAAGAATAGTTCAGAGTGAAAGGGATCTGTAGTCCAACCTTCTGTTCAAACCAGGATCAGCTATGAGATCAGGTTGCTCAGGCCTTCACCCAGTTAGGTCTTGAAAACCTCAAAAAATGGAGGTGGCAGAACTTCTTTGGGAACCTCTTCCACTGTTTGACTGTCATTAATGTGGAAAAAGTTTTTCCTTGTATCAATCTATTTAGATTTGATTGTGACAGTTGTTTCTTGTCCCTCAGTCACACACTGCTGTGAACTTCAACTCTTCTTCATGTTGGTGACCCTCCCTGAGCTCACTCCAACTTATTCCCTATGTCAGGGAGGAGGTATGTGCTTAAAACCAATCATTACAGAATCATAGAATCGTTAAGGTTGGAAGGGACCTTAAAGATCATCAGGTTCCAACCCCCTGCCATGAGCAGGGAACCCTACCACTAGATCAGGTTGCACAAAACCTCATCCAACCTGGCCTTAAAAACCTCGAGGGATGGGGCATCAACAACCTCCCTGGTCATTCCAGTTCCTCACCACCCTTATAGTGAAGAACTTCTTCCTAATATCTCACCTAAATCTTGCCTCTCTCACATTAAAACCATTACCCCTTGACCTGTCACTATATTCTCTGATGAAAAGCCCCTCCCCAGCTTTCCTGTAGGTCCCTTTCAAGTACTGAAAGGTGCTGTAAGGTCTTCCCAGAGCCTTCTCTTCTCTAGGCTGGACAGCCCCAATTCTCTTAGTCTGTCTTCATAGCAGAGCTGCTCCAGGCCTTTGATCACCTTGGTAGCCCGGGGCACCAGAACTGTGTGCAGTACTCCAGGTGGGGTCTTACCAGAGCAGAGCAGAGGGGCAGAATCACCTCCCTGGCCCTGCTGGCCACACTTCTTCTGATGCAGCTCAGGACACAACTGGCTGTCTGGGCTCCAGCACACACTGGTGGCTCATGTGGAGCTTCTCACCTGCTACCACCCCCAAAAGCATGTGAAGAGAAGACTCTTCTGTCTTCCACTGTGCTATGGAGTGGACACACACTGAGCTATAAGCCATGATCCAGCAACCCACTAGGAAGGACTTTCAGCCTGTTGTTGTGGACGAATGCAACCAGGAGCAGTCCAAATACAGTAACATGTTCTTACTTCTTCTACTTAAAACTAAGCACAAATATAACTTTTAGAGTTAAGCCCTAAAATATAAGTAGTTGGATAGGTCTGAAACTAATTATTGCAAAACTTGTAGTGAATTATAACCCAAAGTACATTTTAATCGGATTCTAATGTTTTCTTTTTTTAAGTTGACAGTTGGAGTCCCATCTGGCTTCATTTCTCACAACAGAATCTATTTTATATTATAATACTTCCAATATGGTTATTACTATTGTTGGTTGTAAAAAACAGTAAAGTTTCAGCCTGGACAATTTCATCTGGCCTTCAGATAAAGCTGGCTCAACTTTCAATGTATTGTTGCTCAGCACATTCGAAGTTATGCAGCACTGAAAGGAACAGCAAATAGCCAGAGAAAAATGTAGCATTGCCTGATTTTTTAGTATATCCCTTAAAAACAGCTGGTTCAAATGCGTAAAGCATTAAAAATAGAAATAAATTGCATTCAAATCCACTATTGTTTTTTTTAAAGGCAAAGATCCAGATTCTCTGCTTATGACATTATTTTACCCAAAGGAACAACTCTATTCAGATAATTAGAAAGACAAAATAGTGAACACAAAAATAGTGAACACGTTACTTGTTCTATCTGTATGCCCACAGCTCTGCACACTAGCACCAAAAGCAATTCCTCCACCACCAGTGGTGGAGTGGTGGGCAGTGAGGTGATTTACAAGCCCTGCTTTGTCTGCAGGTGATGATTTGCAGCAACTGACCATCCTCAGGAAATTGTCAGTCCAAAGGGCAGAAGTTTCACAGAATCACAAAACTGTACACAGTATTCCAGGTGTGGCCTCACCAGAGCAGAGGCCCCTCCATGGCCCTGCTGGCCACACTTCTTTTGATGCAGCCCAGGATGCAGTTGCTCTCTGGGCTCCAGCACACACTGGCGGCTCATGTCGAGCTTCTCATCTACTCTCTTAATGTCAGGGTCGTGGGTTCGAGCCCCACGTTGGGTGCTAATAAATTATAGGTAGATGACATCAGTTGCTCTGCCACGACCCACCATCTCTGTAGCCTTGTTGCAGAAGGTCACCAGATTGGTCAGGCATGACTTGCCCTTAGTGAAGCCATGTTGGCTGTCACCAATCACCTCTTAATTTTCCATGTGCCCTAGCAGACTTTCCAGGAGGATCTGCTCCATGACCTTGCCAGGCACAGAGGTGAGACTGACTGACCTGCAGTTCCCTGACTCTTCCTTTTTCCCCTTTTTAAAAATAGGAGCTATGTTCCCTTTTTTTTTCCAATGAGCAGGAACCTCACCAGGCTGCCATGACCTCTCAGATATGATGGACAGAGGCTTAGCAATTGCATCCACCATCTCCCTCAGGATCCATGGGTAAATCCCATCAGGTCCCATAGGTTTATGCACCTTCAGGTTCTTCAGGTGGTCATGAACCTGCTCTATTCCTACAGTGGGGTTAATTAATTCTCCCGGCCCCTGCTTTCACCTTCTGTGGCCTTTGTGTTGAGGTTGGAGCACTTGCCAGACAAGACTAAAGCAAAGAAGTCATTGAGAACCTCAGCCTTCTAACCACAGCCTTCCTGCGTTACTGTCTTGCCCATTTCCTTCAGGAGAGGCCTCCATTCTCCTTGGATGTCCTTTTCTCCCCAACATACCTAAAGAAGCTTCTCTTACTGTTTCTACTTGATTTCCTCTTAGTTGGGATGCAACGGTCTTGGGCCTGGAGAAGATTATCTTTAAATATCAACCAGCTTTTGTGGGTCCCTCTGACCTCCAGGATGTTATCCCAGGACATTCTCTTCAGCAGATTCCTGAAGAGGCTGAGATCTGCCCTTCTGAAGTCAAGGGTAGTAAGCTTGCTGTGAGCCCTCCTTGCTGCCCTAAGGATCTTGAACTCCACCATTTCATGGTCACTACAACCCAGGCTGCCCTTGAGCTTTTGTCCACAGATCTTGTCATTTTATCATGGAATGTTACTGAGGTGGCCAGATCCTCACTGAATGTTCCCAATCACCTTTTTCTCTTTTGTGATCCCAGAAATTTGTTCCAATAGGACTTCCCTAGACTGAAAGGAAGCTTAACTCGTCTGTAGTTCCTTGGCTTGTACTTTTGCCCTTTTTCAAATATAGGTGTGACATTTGGCTCTCTCTGTTTGTCAGGGTGCTCCCACAGTCTCTGGGACCTTTCAAAGGTGATAATGAGCTGTGACACTGGCTAACTTTCTCAAAACCTTTGAGTGCATGGGAGCTGTCCTCTTCATTATCTATGGGTTGAGTTTCTGCAGGTAATCCAAGACTTAATTCTCACATACTACAAGTAACTGTTCTCCTCTTTGAGCACTTTTATTGATCATAGGAGCCTGGGAGACCTTGTCAGGGAAGACTGAGGCAAAAAAGACAATGAGTGTGGTGACCTTATATGTCCACTGTTGATAAATTACCTGATCTGTGTAGAAGCAGGTCCATGTTTCTTTCCTACCTTTTTATAGTAGTACTAAAATCTCTTACTGTTGTCTTTGTTATCCTTTGCAAACATCAGTTCTAGGTGAGCTTTTGGCTTTCCTGACCATGCCTACATACTCAGGCAGTCTTTATAAATTCTACTTTGGATTCCTGTTCTTGCTTCTTCCTCCTGTGTGGTGTTGTTTAGCCTTGTAACTTTCTCGTGAGTTGCCTGTTTAGCCTTGCCAGTGTCTTTATATGTCTGTTTTGCTGAGTACCAGGAGGCCTGATACAGTATGAGAAGTATTTGAAATTTTGGGAACAGTCTGATAGTAGAAAAATTTGAAGTTATGCCTTTTTTAGTAGAATGTAGTCAGATTATATGGAAACTTTAAGAGCAAGCTTAGTATGTGAAATCAGTGTTGATTATACAAGATAGGATGTGATCTTTCTGGAGACCATGTTAATTAAAATAGGATGAATTCTGCTTATTATATACAATTTGAAGGCCATATCCAAATGAATTTAAAACTTGAAGCCATGGCCAATGCCTTCAAGTTTCAACATGGCCAACAAAAGTACTAGGAAATGAAAAAAACTCCAAACATAACCGCTTCTTGAAAAGCCTTTCCTAGAAAGAATATATAACTTTACTTAAAAAAAATAATTTTGGAAGCCATATGATGTGCTAAAATATCTGTTGATTACCTTTAAAAGGATATAGTATACTGGACAAAATAATTTTTGGTAAAAATGTTCTATTCTGAAACTTTCCAGGTTAGAAAAAGAGTGTTTCTCCATAAAGAAGCAAATGGATGAGAAGATAGAGGAAAAGAAGAAGATAATTAAAGACCTCTCTGAGACACTAGTATCTAATCAAAACACCTGCAGAGAATTACAGGAGGAACTTGTAGTGGTAAGACAAAAGGCCTGTGGCATTTCCTGTTTAGGATTTTTAAAACGTACTGTGAATATAATTTGCATTTACTGTGCTGAGCTGTGTAAGAGCTCTGCCATTGTGTTACTCTGAGTTTACTTATGTTACTTTGTTTTGTAAAACATGAGTACATATAGCTCATACTCTGAGAAGCCAATTAAAATATATTTTAAGTGATACTCCATGTATTTAACTGGAGATCTACTTGCAGAAAAAAATATTTTACAGTTATGTCTACGAATAAAGAGTAAATTGCTTTTGCATTCCTAGCGAAGAGGACAATTTGTAGATACAGATCATGATTTCTTGTGAAGAATGTTCTTTCTACCCAAGCTTTTTGCTTCTTCAGGCTTGGTTAGCTACCATTGTAGGCTTGTTTATTTCTGTTTCACATAATGTTTTGGTTTTAGTGCAAGCATTTGACAGTAAAAATTGCTTGAAAATCACTTGTTTGAAGGTGACAAAGCAGAAGGAATTTTTTTTTTGTTTTCTTGTGGATTTGGCTTGTTGGATGTATTTTATAGGATTACTTTCTGAAAATTTTCTCCTTTGATATGACCAGTTGGGCCTTCCCACTGTCTCCATTCACCTCAGCTTTGAATAACAATTTTGCCATCCTGTCATATAGTAGCAGGGAGAAAGAAAGAAAAGATGTGAGGGTATCTAGAAAGCCTTCTCACCTTCCACTGTGTAGTAGCATTTAAAGTATTTCTATACTTAGGCAATGTAAAATTTTTGAAACTGGCTTGTGAATTTCTTCTTTTTCTCTCTCTTGGAGCTATGAATAAAGAAGGTAAACGTGGCCTGTTTCCTGCTGCTACCAGGCATTGTGCTAATCAGTGGGCATGAGCAGAGCACCTTCATCAGAGCATCTTCATCTTCAGACTTGTTGATGTCTTTTGTTCAATGGATGGAGTTATTCCAGACATTATGTTATTGTTGTCCATTTCCCAGACAGACTGGTAGCTAACAAATGGAAGAAAAGTTAAATCGACCCCCCCTTTTTTTCCTGGGAGAATCACAGCTTCTTCCATGCATGCATTAATGTATTAAATGACATCTACTGGCCTAGTAAACCTGAAAAAGTCATCTTACCATGGATAATAGGAATATGAAGAGACAAAAACCAACTGTCTCCTCTAGCTGCAGTCATTAATGGTTGCTATTTATTAATATAAAATAAAATTCCAAGCAGAAAAACTTACACTAGGAACCTTGAGTGGTTGCTAGGTATCACTGTGATACCTAGCTTTCTTTTTCAATTTGTGTTCCTTAGTAAAATGTATGTTAAACCTGACAGGAATTCATGACAAAATTCCATTAATGATCAAGGTTTCTGGCAACGGCAATAGTGGCAATGGTGTACTCAGAATGAACATTACATGACTGAAAAGTAAAAAACAGAATGGATTGTCTCAGTTAAAAGAACTGTCTTATTCATAGAACCAGTTGTTTTAATTGTTTTACTGGAATGATTGCAGACCAGAATACTGTCTTGAACAGGTAATAAAAATACTAATATTCTGAGGAGTTGTATTAGTGGTTCCTAAAGGGATTAGATTTTTATCACCTTGGATGGCTTTGTATTTTTCCTGAAGACTTTGTATTTGTTTGGGAAGCAGGAGTTGCCTGTGTGTGGTCTTGTTTACTCAGTCGGGAAAGCTTTCTGTTATTCTTCTTCCAAAAATGAAAAATCAGAAGACTCTAGGAGAAACTTAGATAACACTTCATATCCTGTTATTAGGCTACCCAGTAGCCATACTAAAATTGTGTGAAAATGTCACTGTGTTCCCTTCATTCCCCCCTCCTGCTTTCTTGATCTGTTTGTTACTTTCCGATATCTATACTATTATTTGACATCCTGAATATATCCTTTCAACTCCAGTCTGATAATCTTATAATAATTTCTCACTGTACTGGTTTACTACAAGTTAATGGTTTTTATTTGTAGAATGTTTGGGAAATACAACCAAACTAGTGAAGGCTTGTTCTTCTTAGAGAAACAGACTTATGCAGGAACAAAAGGCATTCATTGGAAACTTTATAAGAAAAATAAGGTTATGGGTTTTGTTTTTTTTTATGGTTCACTTGCATCTATAGGAAAGAAGTTGTGCTGCTTTTAATTTTAAATATCAGCATGTGGCAGAAGTTAGCCAGGATTTTGCATGGATCAAATGTGATAAGATCTGTTGGTATCAAACAAAACTGCTTACGATTGTTCAGCATGAGCAGACTTTCAAGATTTCCATTATGTTTTGCTGAGGAAATTGGTCTCAAGCTTTTCATTATTTCCAGCTAAGACTTTAAGAAATTTTTTTACTTGAAGAATAGCACTTTGGAAGAATGGCCATTGTGACTCAGGACTTGTTTTAAGTTGAAACAGCCCCAACTCTATTCCTGTCCCATGGAAAGAATATGAGGTGTCTTTATTAATTTTAAAAGGCACTCAGGAAATTTACATTTCTGGCATCTAGTAGTGGATGATCTCTAATTCCTGGTATCGGTCAAATGAGAGATGTTGAACCTTTATTTAATGGGAAATGTTTTTTTGAAATTTGGGGAGCTTGCCAATTAACTGGAATGCATATTAGGAATCTGAAGTACTTAAAAGTTGTGTATTTTAATATAATTTCTTTTAACTGAGAAGAACTGTGCATTAGTCCATGTGCAAGAAAGTCACACAGGAAAATCCCTGAAAGTATAAACAAAGTAGAGAAAATTCCTCTTGGAATAATAGCAGTTCGTTGTGGGACAGGAGCCCAGTTCCCTGCATGATAGTACTGGAGTTTTGATAAGTTAATTTTGAAAAAGCCTCATACTCCTGCCTATATGTTTATTTTTTAGATGTTACTGAACTTGAGCTACACATGCACATTTGCAGCACCAGGCCATGAGGACTATTTTGGAAGAGTGCATAGAGTTTGCATTTATTCAGCAGTGGCATTTGGAAAATGCTGAAAAATCAATGGAACGTTTTTTCTGTCTTGTAACAAGTGGTGGAATAATATTGAGTAGTGGTAGTTAAGGAAAATATCTCTGCAACCCAGGAAGCAGGGAATTGCTCAGATAAATGCAAATACCCTAATTCTGGAAGATTAGCATAATTCTGACAGTGGATGGAATAATATAAACTTATGAGTAGTAGCTCTTCCTCATAACTCTGTTTATCCTTATAGATAAGGATATAAAAGCATTTGGAAAAAAATATTTTCTCCTGGTTGGACCCAATAGTGCCTGTAATGAAGAATACTTGGCTTCTGTTTAATTTCTGTAAAAGTGCTGTTTTAAAATTGACAGTTAAATAAATGTATTGCCAAACACTTTTTTCTACCAAAATGTAGAAAGGAATGTTTTGTCCATAAGGAATGTTAAGCGACAGTGGGAGCCTTCTTAAGGCCATGAAGTTTGACTTTGTGAAGCATTGTATATTCTATAATCCAGCATATATTTTGGGTTAAAAAGTATTAATTTGCTTCCATATTGTTTGTTTTCTAGCCTTCTGTTCTGAGTATTTTATGAGGGAGGGAATTTTGTTTGGGTGGGTATAGGAAATATTCCTAATGTATTTTGAGAATTTTAAATTCCTGAGTGTTTATGCAAACTTCACAAGAAAACTTCACCATTGATCTCAGGGACCTGTGATTCCTGATGGCAGGTTCTACCAGTAAAGACTGAGGTGAAGAAGGCATTGAGAAGGCCTTTCCTTCCTCCTAGTCACCAGATCCCCTGCCCCATTCAGCATCAGGTCCCCATTTTGCCTAGTCTGCTGTATTTCAGGAAGCCTTTCCTGTTGCCCTTCACATCCCCAGTCAGATTCAACTTTAGGTAGATTTTGGCATTCCTAAGCTTATCCCTCTGAACATGGACAGTGCCTCTGTATTTCTTCCAGGTCACCTATGCCTCCTTCCACCTCCTTTATGCTTCCTATTAATATTTTAATTTAGTTAGGACCTCCTTGTGCTTTGTGCTACCTTTCATTTTCAAGGTAATTTTCAAGGATCACTTCCAAGGTCAAGAATGATCCATCATGATGTGCAGGAAGTCAAGCAAAGTCAGCATAAAGCTTGCTTTACTAGTGTTGTTTCACCTGTTTCTAGCAATGTGGTCTGGGAAGCAAATTCTTTTTAGCACTTTGTCAACTGATTTCCCTTTTGAAGTAATCTAAGGAATGAGTGCCTTTCCAGCGGTTCTGTAGGACTGAAATCCTCTAAGACAAATATGAAGATGGATGGAGCTGCTGAGAGGGAATTAATCTCATCTCCTGGAATAGCTGGATCTGGCAGAAGATACCTTTCAGCAGCTTCAGTTGATTATGTTTGACTTTTACACTTGTGGACTCCGGTTTTTTTCCTTTTCAGGGAATTATATACACTTGTTTTTGTTCAGACTGAAGAAAAGTTAAGGGAGATACAGCTACTGCCGTGGACTGTCAAATGGGTGCTTGTGGGGAAGACAGATCTACATTCTCCTTAGGACAGTGTAATGGAAGTATGAGACAAAACAGAAGTTTTAGAAAGGGAAGTTGTAATTACCTGTAAGGGGCAGAAAGCTTTACAGTGAGGACTGTGAGATATTGGAGCAGGTTGTCTAGAGGGATTGTTGAACTCTATCCTTCAAGACACTCAAAACTTGACTTGACAAGACACTGAGCAACCTAGCCTGGCTTCAAGCATGGCCTTACTTTGAGTGGGGAGTGGGAACAGATGATCTCCGGAGATCCTGTCAGCTTAAATTATTCCACTGTTTTATGTCTCCACACATTCTTATTAGATGTATGTCAGTGAGACATAAGAAGTTAGGTTGATACTTTCAGACCCTTTTGGACTCCTAGACTGTGCCTGGATTTCCAGCACTGTAGTTTACAATATGTTTCTTTAATTTCTGATAATGAGAACAGTGATTGAAAATGGAAATTAGAAAGAAAAGATTCTAAATAGTTCGCAACTGAAGTGTAGAGAAACTGGCTAGTGCAAGGAATTTACTTTTGATCTTTTTTGATGTGAAAAAAAACCCCCTAAAATTGGCTAGGGAGTGTAGACGCAGTTGGCAAACAATGCACAGTGAAGTGGTGAAGGCTGATAGACTGGAATGTACTAAATTGTGGTAAATGAACTAAAAATGAAAAAGTTGGCTAAGAAGAATGAAAAAAAATTTCTCACGTTTGACTTTTGCATGGGAAAAGGTTTTTCTGGGAAGATTTAGTCTGACCTTGTCTGTGCTGGAGTGGTTTATGTAAAAAGAATATTTATTTTACTGTGATGCTGATCATATTGTTATAGTTTCTGATTTGTAATATGTGAGGTCTTTGAGATGGTATCAGTACATGAGAGTAAATAATTTTTTGTGTTTGCATCTCATAAAATATTTTTACTGGAGCTTAGCAGTTACAAGCTCTATTTGTGTAGATAGATTTATAGAATAAGAATTAAAGCTTAGGTTTGTTTTTAATGTATAGAAGTGGTTTGGAAATTCTTAATGAAGTGTAGTACAAACTCTCACACAAGGAAAGGCATGTAAATGCTACAGGGGACCTAACACCGAAATACACTTATTAATAATATATTAGTTGATGTACAGTACATATAATTAAAATTGAAAGAGTAAAGCTAATTTATAAAATATTTAAACTGAACAGTGAAGAACACTGCAGAGAATTAAATGCATTCCTTAGTTTTTTTGCCTGACAGTTATATGCTACCAGTAAGTAGCAGATTTCCTGGGGAGGATATTTCCCACACTTGAGAAATTGACTGGATCTTTACACCTGCAGCAAAGCATAACTGCAGCAACAGTTTATAGATAGGATAGAAAACAGTAGGATTTTTCTCAGTACAAAAAGGATAACCTTCATCAGGAATTAGAAATAATGCAAATAGATGTTAGAATTTAGAATAAAAATAAATTGAGTAATTAAAAGTAATGAGACATCTTTGAGCAGAACCTTTGTCATAAGAAAATAATGTTTATTTAAATCTAGTTTCTCCTTGATTTGGGTAGGAGGGGTTGTTTGGAGGTTTGGGGTTGTTTGGCTTGTTTTTGTTCGGTTTTTTTGTTGACTTGTGAGACTTAATACTTTGTGCTAGTCAGCTGCTAAAACTGTACATTTCTTTGAGAAGTCAGAACTGCCACAAGAACCTTGGTCTTGTCTGGAATAAGGCATGTATGTCTTTGAAAATTGCAAGTGTTAATAACAGATATCAATTGAAGTAATTATTTGACCTAGTCTTTCTATTGTGGTGATTAAATAAATGTGCTGTAATACCTATTTACCTTCAGAATAAAACCAATGTCTTGATTTGAACAATGGCTTGCACCTAAGTGAACATCTTTCTTTAAGAAAATTCGATGATAGGAGCCGAAGGGCTTTGCTGCTTTATATTCCATGCATAAGAAGGAGGTTTTGATATTGAAGAAATCGCTATCAAGCATGGAAGATGGTAACAATTAAAGTAGGCAGGTTTGCAATGAGAATAGGTGTGGGATTTGACTGAGTGCCAGATGATGAATTTCTAGCCTGTCTGCCAGTAGTTTGGTGTCTTTCTGGATGCCCTTGTAGGGTGTAACAATAGATTTCATTGCTTCCTTAGATGGGCAGCAGTTAATTAATGTTCATTAAGGTATTTTTAAAGAGAAGATCAAGACTAGGTTACATTTTTCTTTTTCTTTGGACCACTTGAAGCCTTTAATTCTCTTTTAAATGTATTTCAGGGTTCTGTGTTACTTATTTGTGATGTCATGTTAGGTCTCCTGGCTCAAGAAAAGGGGTAACAAGAAATATAGCAGGAATTTGAATTTAAAGGTGAAAAAAAATGCCACTGTCATTTGTATTTCTTCTCTTTACCATTTTAATGCATTTCTTTTTTTACCCTCTCTTTTCTTGCCTGTATCTCCTGTCAAATAAAGGCCAAGAAACACCAGGTCTTTCTAACAGAGACGTATGAAAACAACATGAAAGAGCTGAAGTTACCCTTGGACAGCTTTGCTATGTCAGGCCAGCGGACAGCAGGTTAGTTGAAGGTATAAAATGACAGATGCATCTGTCAATGTTCCAAAGTCACTACATTGTGGGAATTCTGCAGATGCCTCTTGCATTCCCTCTTCTCAACATGCTTTGATTTGATGACATGATAAGAGCAGTTCTCACAGCAGTCAAATGGCCTTGCTGGCTGAGAAAGGGTGACGGAATGTGGACCTGCTGTTGTCAGCCCAGAGCTTGATTTACAAATGCTGGGGTGTATATGATCGGTCAGAAAAGGGCTCACTTGCTGTGCTCTAAATCCAACTGAGAAAAAAGTCCTTACAGTATACCTGCAAAGGGAACAGATGTTTTGCCTGAACTGAGCCAAATTCTGAGGCAACCTTCAGCAACTTAAAGGTCATATATTCAAAAAGGTTGTGTAGGACACATGATATAACACAGTAGTTTTTACTGTTGATTGTGGACTAGTACTGAATTGCATTCATTTGATCCAATACTGAACATATATTTATCTGTTTGAATTAAAATTAATTGTAAGTCAGTGATTGTGACTCTGATACCTAGCTTTATATGTAATTATTATATCAAACTCAACAAACTGCTACCTTCTTAAACATTTAAATAGCAGCTGACATAAGCAAGCAGAACTTTAACATCAAAGTGAGTAATTTTTTAAAAAGGTAAAATAGTACACTGCTTAAAATCTTAATTTAAAACTACCTATTAAAGTTTTCTCTTCGTTTCCTGTTAGAAAATCACATATTGGACACAATACTTGCATCTTACAGTGTAGATAAAGTGTAATAAAACAGGCAAAATATTGTCTAAAGATCAAGTGTGTTTATTTTATGTAAATTGTCATTATATGTTTCTGCGCTTTTTAGCAACAATAGACGTACATGGGTCATAGAACACTTTTAAATGGAGATGTATTTTTTTATATCTCTGCTAACAACTTTTTGTTTGTTTGTTTGTTTGTTTGTTTTTGGTTTTTTAGAGACTGGTACTGTTAAAATCACGTAAAGAAACTTTCTGATTTCTCTTGTCCTTAAAAATCTACCCTGGAATCTATGAAGCTTGATTTTCTTACATGGGCTATATGGGCTTTTTTACTTCTTATTTGGGAACTGGTATTAGTTTTATTCTGTAATTATAAACATAATCCCTGTGTGTAATATCTCTAGGTTTACTGTAGATATGTCAGACTGAAAAGCTCTTCAAAACTGTATGTTTTCTTCCATCTTGCAAAGTGTCACATGCCCAAAGGGGTGTCAGCTGTTCTGGAGGGAGCTGGGTTTGCTGCCAAAGTGCAGTTTCCAAAGCAATAAGTGTTTTTTGGGTAGGCTTTCTGTTCTCCCTAGTGGTTAACCTTGCAGAGAACAGCTTTGACCTGGTTCTGTAATACTAAGAATTCAGTAACTCCAGTATTAATTTGCTTTTTTAAGGTAAACTTTGAAAGATCTTACTTAAAGAAATTTTTTTTTAAGCTTTAGCATCTCCTGCAAAGGTTCAGTTGAGGCAGAAAGTAAAATTTAGCTCTGCTGTGGATTGAGTCTTTATGGCTAATATTAAAATGGACATTAACTGAGACATTTGTTCTATGTATGTTCTACGCTTCTAAGTGTGAAATTTAGGTTTTTAGTGCTGTTGCCTTACTGAGCTGTGCTTATAAATTTATTATGTAACAAGTATTTCTTTCAGTTTTCAAAATGTTGTTTAATGTAATCATATTTGAAATGGGAATGCCAAGGTGCCAATAAAAGTAAACATGTTGAATGAATCTGTGTAGTGTAATTAGCAGATGAGGGGCTAAATGAACCACAGCTAGCTGAGCAGTCATTCTTCCTTGTTTTACTTTATAACTTTTTCCTCAAGTGGTTGAAAGATATACTTAAAAACCTGCCAGTGTTAAAGGTCCAGCCCCTTAATTTAAGTATGGATGGAGCTGTGATTATTGGGCTATACAGGGAAATGAAGAGAAGACTTTATCGTTTTAAGATTAAAACCCGGGATATTTTAAAAAGTTATTTTTTTCTTCATACTTCCCAAAATAACAAGGGTAAGTCTGTGTCTTCTCCTTTTCTAGTGACCTTTTAAAGTTTTTCTCGGTGTTGTTGTTCTTATTGGGCAATTTGCATTATTTCAGTTTTTCCCTGTTCAGTTTTTAATATTTTGCAGTTATTTGCAGTTGTCTTCACTTCAGGAAAAAAAAAAGACTAACTGAACTCAGTATAAAATGCCAGAAGTGTTAGTGGCTTTGAGTTATTGTCACCATTTATTGAAGGCCAACAGTATTGCTTTGGTCAAAAATCTAAACCACAGCACCACATAAGCTGCAACAAAGAAAGTTAACTCCATTGTAGACACGCCCAGTACTGTTAGGAGAAAGTCTGAAGCAGTACATTTAAGAGTTTACTCACTCGTACACCTCCTGTCAGGCTTTTACTGAATCTGGCATTTCCTTACTCCAAACTCTTAGGTGATATACAGGGAAATATTTTCAAGTATTGGGTTTGCTTTTACCTTGTTACTGAAGTAAGGCCCCTCCAGCAAGCAAGTGCTCCTTTGATTGTGATGCAGGTCTCCTGCATAACTGTATGGAGACAAACAACATTTGGCCAGTGTTGTTCAGCTAGTGCAGGAAACTGGACTATGGCATTTCTGTTGGCAGACTGAGCTACCTAGAAAATAGAGTTGAAGCGAAGACAAGGACTGCCAGCATGGAAAGTTTATTGGTAGAAGTCTGGTTTTGGCAAACATGATACTAAGATACTTCAGAGGCATGTTTCAGTGACAGCATGGCCAGCTGGGGCTTCAGAAATGAAGATGCATTGTTTAGACAGCTTGATGAAAACTGTGGGATGGAATACAACCCCTAAATTGACTTAATAGGTATTATTTTGAACTGAATGAGAATTGTAGTTACAAGTTCGCTAGAGCTATAAGTATGTCAGAATAGTGCTTTCTTCTATGCACAGGACCACTGCAACATGTGCCAACAATGGACAGAAGTAGTTGCAAAAAATCGTTCTTGTAATTGAGAAGAGACAACTGGAGCCCTTTTGCATCCTTAACTATTGCTATGGTTAAGGGATGAAAATGACAGTAGGGTGTTACTTATCTCTTTCCTAAATGTGAAATCTAAACTTCTCACAAAAAGTTAGAATTTATGAATTATTCTTAGGTTGATTCTAGGTGTAACATTGGTGTTTGGGACATCTCCAGGACTCAGAAGTTTGGCTAAGGGCACTGCAGTCTCATTAAGAAGATTTTGCTTTTCCCTGACAGTGTAGACCATTACAGTAGGTGTCCGCTGGAGAGCCTGGTAGGACAGAGCAGAAATCTGTCACTGGGATGTGTGTTCTTTTTACGTTCATTGCATGCTGTAGAGCAGATCTTGCTTCTCTTACTGAAAGTCATCTTGCAAACCTGCACTGCTTTGACAAGGTGTGACATTGATAGTAACAACTGGCTGGCAACCTGAAGTGAAAAGTTAGTGTCCAATCTGAATAGTACTCCATGCTTTCTGGTGTTATCAAAGAGTTGGGAGAGCAGAGGCTAATTAATAGAAAAAAAATTTCAGAACAGCTGTTGGCAATACTCTCTGGCTTCTGCATATGTGTAAGTTTTGCACTGACACTGCACTCACATTGGTGCATTATGTATAGCCTACAGGACAAATCTGTCATTTTTGTATAATGTTTTGGGTAGGCTGTTATGCTTGTTAGTTAATGCTAACCTTAGGATTTTTTAAAATGACCCAACCTGCTGGTCTGTAAGTGCACATCCTCTAGCTGACTTAGTTTTATGAAGATCCAAAGAAAGGGCTGAGGGTTTAATATCTGATTTGACTTTATGAGCCACCTTAGGTAAATTGCTTAGCAGCACTTATCTTTCAGAGGTGATAAACACCTGTATCATCATATGATTCTGCTGGAAGTCGTGATTGTTTATCCTTTCTGGAGTTAAACTGATGCAGATTTCTTTTTTCTTTTGCAAAATAAGGATGCTATTGGTGTTGGTAACGTTAGTTTTGCTTATAGAGCAGCTAAGACTCAGAGAAAAGAAGATACTGTAATTTGTTACAAAATAAGTTTATAAACAGTGCATACCAGTATAAATAATACTGAGATGACGAATCTGTGAATAACTTGGTATTTTGCTGTAACAGCAGAAAAAAAGGAATAGTTTGTTATTGGAAATTTAATATCAGCTGGCATCTTGTATCCTTATGACCAATACAATGTTGTTTTGCTTTCTTACCACATTGTACTATGGGCTTTGAAATGCTCAGACTTCATCGTATGTCCCTAATTAAGGCAACCAGATCAGAACTCTCTGTCTAAATGTTTAATAAGTAAGTGTAGTGTGTGTATAATGGATATATCAGCTTTAAAATCTGTAATTGAAACATTATGTAGGACTCTGCAGACAGATAATAAATTTTTTTTATTGTTTCCTTTGGAGTGAAATTCAAGATCATTTGAAAGGTTTTTAAGACCTCTACAAGCGTAACATAGTCATATGATCTTTGGCTCAGTAAAGCATTGAGTAAATTAAGTACTACATTAAAACATGCATGCTTAGTCACAACAGCAAAATAAGGTCAGGAAAACCGTAACATACTTAACTTTCAGGCAACATGTTTTTCAAAGCATGTTACTGTGTGGTTTTAAAGCTGACTGGTCTGACTGAAGCTGACCGCAGTAGAAATTATATGAAAGACTGCATACCAAATACATTAGGTAGAAATGTAATCCAGAATTTACAGTTCTGTCTCTTGTATTAAAGCTTTTGTACAAATGTCTTTCAGCTGTATTTGCTCTGAAAGTATGGCTATTCAGCTGCATCTCTTGTGGCAAACAAGGCTGCTGCTCCTTGTTTTGTATTGTCACTGAAGCCCTAACTAATTTGAATACCTCTCATCTAGGGTGAGTCGTTTTCTCACTGTGTCTTTAAGGCTTAATTTTCATTCTGTGTTTTTCTTCAGGCACTGGTAAGGACAAAGATAAACCTCTGGGCCTCTCTGACCTTGAGACTTTGAGCTGTAACTTGACAGCTTACCAGAACAAGCTGGAAGATATGTCTAATGAGGTAACGCTTGCACTGTTTGGCTCTGTATGTATCGCCTTTGGCCTGCAGCAGTACCTACACTTTGTTTGTAAAAAAAGGTCAGAAGAGTGGGAGTGTTGAGTTGACAGCTTCACGTACACCCAAAGAAATAATCTCTGTCACTACTGTTTCTAAGCGTATCCTGCAGTGAAGTTTTACTTACATCTGGGGCAAGAAGGAGAACAGATTTTTTTTTCTTTTTAGTTTAATTTGGTTTTGTTCTCTTATTAAACCTGTTGAAAGTATAATTGTCAATAAACATTCAGGAAAACAGGCCATTCATATCTAGGATTTCAGTTAACAGATGATTTAAGAGTTGAACAGTGTGTACTGCAGTATTTCTAAATATGCAGCAACTTCAGCCTCAGCAGTCATTGCTATCAGTTATGTAAATGTGCATGCCCTTGTAAATTTAAAAAGTGGGATAATTTTCTGAGATAAGTGTGTTTACTGTGAAGTTCCTCTTGGTGTTATTTTTTGGTGTGTTTTTACCTTTCAAGTAAAATAAGACTGTGGCAATATTTTCTTTGAATTATCTAAGACAATATAGGAAATATTTCAGTTTTGGAAAAACTGTCTTACCCTTGAAAAAAGCCACAATCTTGCATTTATTTTCTCATTTGTATTGCTAATATGAATAAATTAAACCTCTTGAGTGTAAATGTTTTATGAATTTGTGGCATTAAAGGCTGTAGAGAGAAGTTAACTGCTCTATTAGAACATTCTGTGCAAACTTGTAATTGGCTTATCTTTGGATAAAATTAGCAAATACAGAAAGTCGAGGTTTTATTTAACAAATGCATTGTCAAGCTATTCACTCACAATGTCAAAAAAAAAAGGCAGATGAAAACGTATATCAGCTTTGCCCCCTTTATTGGGAAAAGAATGGTCTCCCACAAGACCTTTGAGTTTGTTCAACAGGAGCAAAAAATAAGTGACCATGGAAACAATTATACTTTTGTAAACAGCAAGGACTCTCAGGTCTCTCCCAGAGAGATAAGAGAACCAATGTGTGTAGTCATTATGAAACTCTACTGAGACCCATGTCTGGAAGCTGCAGAGTAACTAGGAGCATACTACCCACAGTGAATTGTTATTTGGGAGGAGGAATGTCACGTGATAGGCAGCACAGTTGAAAAGTCGACTCAGCAGGCTTTGGCTTAGTGATGTGCTTTGTTGTGAAACTGTGCCAGAGACAGCAGCGGGGAGACCAAGGGGGTGGCTACTAAGAAAGCAAGGAGAATTTTCTGACAGGAAGAACAATGAACTGTCCAGGAAAATAAATCGCAAGCAGAGCAGGACCAACTGATGGCCTGCCACAGGACTTCCCAATAGGACTGTGTGTGACTGACCCTGAAGTTGTCATACGGAGCCAGAGATCACTGAGCATCTTCATAGTGCACAGAAAGGGCAGTGCACTGTCCTTCTTGATCACTCCCACCCCCAAAGATAATGCTGCCTCTTTTTATGTGTTAGCTATGCTTAGAAATAGAACTTTTAAAATAATACAATAAGGTATAAAGGGACTATGAAGGGTGCTGTGCAATAAACACAGGATGTCTTAAAACACAGCAGTAAAGATTTAGTTTTGAGTAATTATGTAGTGCATTTTTTTACAAAGATATTTTCAATAAGACTCCACCTGATTGTTACTAATATAAGTGTTCGTCTGTATGTGTACATGAAATAAGGCTGGCAAACTTGTTATGTATCACCCTTAATGTAGTGCGCTAAGCATTAAATTAAATTATCTAGATCATCTGAGTGACTGAAAGGTGTGTGTTTTGTTTTTGACAGATAACAAGCTTTTGACTTTCTATATAGTGCAGAGGCTAGAATATGTTTGGGAAGAGAGAGAAGGCTACTAAACCAACACAAAGTCTGGAAATACTCCACTAGCATTTTGTAATTTACTGTATTTATTTCTAAGGATTCTTCGAGGTCTTCTAATTTTAGATAAAATAAAAATGTAATTTCCAAAGTAACTTTACTGTATTTATTTCTAAGGATTCTTCGAGGTCTTCTAATTTTAGATAAAATAAAAATGTAATTTCCAAAGTAACTTGCAAATTTGGTAAATGGATTATTTTACTTGAGTTGCCCCTTAATGCTGGAGTGTTGGCAGTAATCTGCACTATAATGCTTTATTTCAGGCACGTATTACTAACTTCATCATCAAGTAATCAAAGGTACAGATTCTAGTGATGTGTCATCTTTTTTGAAAGTGGAAAAAGAAGCTAGTACACTTTGTGGTCATGGGCTACCTCTAGGATGGTTGCTGTAACACTGCAAATAGTTCAGTAGTCACTGTACTTCTTGGAACGTTGTTGCTTTTTACAGTTATGTGACTACCATCCAGCGCTCAGCAAAAATTAGAGACCATGCTTGTATGTGGACAGTTTCTGCAAATGGCCACTGATTTCAAAACCTTTTTATTTCAAACCACTCCCCAGATCATAATCTGAATTTATTAAATCTCAGGTGCAATCCAAAGCCCATCTTTTGGTCAGATATTTTTTAATGGGAAAGTTAACAGGGGAGTCAGTTAAGGATTCTGCCACTGTTATTTACTGTAAATAATTTTCAAAGAGTTATTTAGTGCTTTTGTAATGGCACATTATTTTGATTGTATGGAGTATGAATATTATCAAAGAATTTAACTTTTTAAAAACATTTTTGTGCAAAATTAATCCTTTATATTCAAGTGATTATGTGACCTTTCTGTAAAAACCTGTTTGACCTCTGTATTTTTCACAGCTTTGGAAATTGAAGGTTTTGTGTGGAAAGATGGCAAAAGAACTTGAGATATCCAAAGAAGAAATATGTACTTTAAGTCAAGAACTTAAGGTATGATATAAAGAGCTTAATATAAAATTTGAAAGTTCTGCAAAAAGTATCTTTCTGGATTTAAGGTATCTTTTCTTCTTTGCAGAATAAGTCTCTGTATCATTTTATCCTGTTGAGCAAGCTAGTTTACTTTGCAAGCTTGTGTAAAGCCATGTCACTTTATTCTGTTTACCATCTTAGCCTACATAACTGATCATTTCAATCACTGCACTGCTGAAATAATTTGAAATTGACTTATCATTTTGCATAGTATTATTTTATGTTGAAATCAGCATCAGTGTTTTTTCTCTTAACTTTTTCTCAAGGAGATGATTTAATTCATATTGTATTATACTCATATGAAAGCGCATTTTATTTAAGGTGTCCTTTCCTTTGTTAAATTTTGGCTTTGTTTGTGTCTGTCAGACAAGTTAGTGCATGTATGGGCATCAGGTCATCCTTAGCACTTGTATGATGTGCAGCCCAAATTTTCTTGGAGTAAAATCTACCTCAGAACAGATAAAAAACACTTGTGAACTCTTTTATTTAGTTTCTACACAATTTTTTTTTTTTTTTGTCTGTTGGCTGACACACCACTTTTGTAATGTTCTGGCTGGTTACTTCAGTGGCCAAGGAAATGAGGAAGTCCTGAGGTCATGGTTAAACTCAGTCTCCCAACGGGTAGTGTATTATGACTGCCAAAATACAATGTATCTAGTCCCAGAGTTTCTCAGATTTTTCTGTTAGGGATATGCTGCTTTATCACTTCAGTTTAGTCACAGACACTTCCTCAACACTTACTGAATATTCATGTTAATTGATACTTGCACATGATCTGTCTTCTGATTTGAACTTTCTTTACTAATTTATGTCCAGAAGACTTAAGACTGCGGTTTCTGTTCCTGCATCTTTGTAAAGCACCTAAAAATGCTGCAACCCATTGCCACAGACTCATGTATTCTTCATGCAAAAACTGAGTTAGCTATACACAGGCAGTGCTGGCTTTTATGCAGTACACCAGTTTCTGAGAACTGTAATTTTTTTGTAATAATGTTATATATATGAGTGAAAATTAGATTTAGTCTGAGAACATTTATGTTAGAAATTTAACATTACTTTAATATTTTAATATTTTCATTGAGAACAATAAAATCTGTCATTGTCTGATGAATTTGAGAGCATTTTTTCTTGTATTTCTTATATAAGCATCTGTGATTATATGAAAAAACCCCAATGCTTTCAGTTTGACCTTTAGTAAACTTTTCCAGTGCTGGGAGTCTAGTGCTTGTAGGAGAGGAAAGGATGTGTATCTGTCCACTCCTTCTCAGCAATCTTTTGGCTGAAAAGGGGTAGCGTATTAAGTTTTTTATTTACCTTGTGATATTTGGTACTTATGACATGATGATTGTATTTATGGCCTTTTCTAATTATTAGTTTCTTCCCATAGTCAAACCTCCAAAGAGTCTTAATAGTGCTCTCTGTGTTGTCTACCATCTCATCTGTAACAGATCAGAGATTTACTTATGAAACTAATGTATCTTTTCACTATCTCTGAGAGCTCTCCGCTCTGCAGGGTGTTCTGCATCTCAGCTGTGGGGGTAGAGGGGATTATGAAGGAAGGTCACTGCATTGTGGAGCTTTTAAATCTGAGATGGAATTCTGATGCTGTCTTGTTACAAGTTTTGGGGAAGGACTGGTGTAAATTTTGAAACTCTGTTATTGATGAGATACATCCAGCTTAGCCTGAAGTCTTCTGAACACATGTAGCTGTATTACTGTTTACTTCCTCACATGCTTAGCGCTGGACTGAGGTAACATTTTATAGAGTAAAATTCTTACCAGCGTTTCTGTTCCATGCCTCTGTTCTACAGGAAGCTCAGGATGACCTAGCTGATGCCAATAAAGAGTTAAATCGTCTGCACACTAAGTATTCAGACAGAGAGACTTTAATAGGAACTTTAAAAATGGAACTACAGAGTGTACGGCAATGCTGGGAGAAAGAGAGAGTACGTGCCACAGAATCTGAAAATGAAATCCAGAAGCTTACCAGGGCTTACCAGAAGGATATGGAGGTATTATCAGAGACAAGATGACTGTCAAAAAGAGTCTTTATTTAATCTTGACTTTATACATTTACATACATCAAATAGTTTCTCTTAGTCTTAACAGATTTATCCCCAAAATATGATTTTAAGATATGTATTTTGAAATATGTGTTTAATATCTACAAGATCTCAGGACATACTGGTTCTCTTTCTAACTAATATTTTAACCCTTGCAGTATTTTGAATTTTAGAACAGAGCTATGCCTGATGCACAGTTTCAAATTGAAAGTTAATAAAAATGTTTTGCAACTGGAACATACAGTAGCTATTAATTGCTGATTCACACGTCAATAGATAGCAAATGTGAACTTGAGAGAGTTTTGCCTGCATACCACAAAACCTAAAAATTCTTATTTGTGACCTGGTAGCTTATTGAGCTGTACTCTATGTGGGATTTGCTTCCCAAAGACTTATTTCAGAACTATTATCTTCCTCCTTATATTTGTTTAAAGATACTAGTTGCGTTGCTTTCCTCCCCCCCATAAAGCAGTTCTGTAGAAGCAATAGTAATGATACACTTTATCATAGTTGTTGTCCATGTTGAGTTCATTACTTCCACAAATTTGTATACGAATGCCAACTGAGTAAAAAGGAAACATTCTTTCCACCTCTTTAACAGTCTGGTATTTAAATAGTGTCCACATGAAGCAGCTGGAATTGCTATACACATCAGATAATGATTACAGTGAAGGAAACTAGAAGCCTGGCTATATTGTAAAGTCAGCATGTCCACAACACTGTGGTTGCATTCAACATGTGTGAATTGATTTTGGGTCTTGGGATCCTTTTTTTCACTCCAAATGGATCATTATCATTCTTAGTTTGTCACAGTTCAAGCGAAAATGTAATGATGGTGGCAATCTGGATTTTCTTTGGGGATTTAGGAAGTCTGCTAGAAACAAGGCTAAACTAAACCAAATTACAATTTTTTATTGCCTACAATACCATGAAATAATTGTGAGAAAATGCACCTAAGTTTAAGGGAAAGGGCTTATAAAAACCATAGTTCCCCATCTCAGTTATGCACAGTTTTGTAATATAAAGCCTCATCCAAGGTCCCTGGAAAACAATGAGAACCTCTACAGTGGTTTATTAACTTTGAATAAAGTCACTGTTTCTTACAGCTTTTCAGGAACAGCTTTCTGTTGTTATCTTAATCAAAGTTGCTAAGTTGCGTGTATGTAGTAAAAAGATGAAGGCTGGGACTTCTGTTGTATGCTGTTGATGCTAGATGTGTTTATATCTTGCATCAATTTATTATATTAGTGACTCAAATCAGTGTAAATGAATGAGGCATGGCTTGTGGAATTTAACTGCTGAAGCTATAAGCCTGTTCTGTCTAGCTATTTTGTCATACATAATCCATGCAGAAACAAATTTTAAAAGACTTTAGAGTGATAGTTGTATAAACAGTGTGTCTTGCTGCCTGGCCATCAGACAATATTCTGCCTGCTACACAGATTATGGAACTGGGTGCAACTTGAATGTATCTGAAATTCTTAGCATGAATGATTAAGTTGTCTCTACTTACAGCATGGTCATGTTTGTGACCACTGTAGGACTGGGCTTGCTTCATTTATATACTACATCCAATTAGACAAATTTTGTAAAAACTGTTTTCTTACTCTGGCTTTAATATGTATGGCTGCAATTATTAACCAGGAATTAGAAAATTTTGAAAAGGTTTGAGACTGAGCTTTCAGTGTTTTTTCACCTATGTGCAGCTCACATTGCTACACTCGTTGGATTCTAACACTGTTCAGATACAGCAGTTAATTTTTCTTTTTGTCTCAGGAGAAGCTAACCTTCCTCCATGGCTTATACCAGCGTTTGGTAGCAGGCTGCGTGCTTATAAAACAACCAGAAGGCATCATAGATAGATTCTCTTGGTCTGAGCTTTGTGCAGTCTTGCAGGAGAATGTTGATGCCCTGATCTTAGACCTCAGCAGGGCTAATGAGAAGGTAAGTGTCCTTAGGCAGCAGCTACCGCTATTAAATTCAGTGACATTTGTCCACATCACACTATCATTAAAAAGGACTGACATTCATCTTATTTCAAAAAGAATTTGGACGTTAATAATTCAGTACCATTAATTATGGCTTGTCGACAACTCAGTTTGATGCCATTGCTGTGGGCATGTAAATGTGACTGAAGTCTGTATGAAGTCTCTAAGCTCCACTTTCTGTGCAGGACATGCTAATAGTACTAGCCAATATTAGCCACAGGGACCTAATTAAAAGAAAATAAATTAATCTTACTGATGAAGCAATTCAAAGAACTTAGTAATTTACACTAGTAAAGCCAGTCTTTATTTTAGCATAAAACAGAAACAAAATGCACTCCAAGAACATCATCTCTAAATTAAATGTTTATGATTCAGAGGTACTATCTGAAAAAATACCATTGTGGTTTTTTGGTTCAAGTGTAACTTTTGGATTATGTTATTCTATACAGAAATACAATGGAAAAATACTCTTTTTTTTTTTTTTTAAGTCAATGTTTGTTTAAAGGAGAGGCTGTACTTTTCTGAATTAATATTAACAAGCTTACATGGTCTTTCTTCTGAGAAATCCCTGTGTTTTTAGGGAAGACTCTTTTAAAATAACTTAAACTAGCTGCACTAACTAACATGTGTCACTCTTTAGAATTTCAGTTTATGTTCTGGATCCACTGATCTGGCCAGTCCCACATTCTGGTAAAGTGGCTTTGCATCTTGTCTGCCCTGATACTTTGATCTTGAGGCATAGGAAGGGAAAAGCTCTTTCACACATTTCTTGTCTGCTGGAATTGTGACCACTCTTCTGGCCTGAGTAAGGGACAGGGCTGGTTACAGTGAATAGTTTTGACTCTGCTCATCATTTGTTAAATACCCCAGCAGTCAATTAGTAGAGAAGGATATAATAAAATCTGGATTGTGCAGATGTACATTGGGTGTACATTTCTGTTTTCCTTTTGAAGCAGAGGAATAAAGAGAATGGAAGGGAAGGGAAGGGAAGGGAGTGAACATCGTTGGCAGTGTCCGAGGGGGGGGTTGTGTCTTATTGTATCTTTCTTTTTAATTGAGCATGGTTATTGAGATTGGTTGTGCTGTCTTTAGGGCTCTTTTCATGTACTTACCAGCTTTTCAGGGATTTGGGACAGCATTGTTGCCTGTCTTGTACTTGCACTCTGAGAATAATTTTTTTTCTCCTGCAGTTTTGTGTGATATGTTTGGAAGGCATCTTGCTGATGTTATCTAGTAACAAAGTGTAGGCATGTGAATTTAGAGGTCGTTGTTAGCTTGATGAATTCCTTCATTATTTTGCATGGGAGCTGAGAAGTTAAACTACAGAGTGAATCCATTCATGCTTGTTGAAAATGCATCATAAACTAATGAGCTACTTGTGAAAAAAACATTCTGCATGCTAAAATTTTCTGAAATTATTTTAATAATAATATCTGGAATGTCTTGGCTTTCCAATAAAACAAAAAGTAAAATTAAGAGCTGTTTTTTTCATTATTACTTGCAATTCTTGCAAACTGCTAGAGGACTGGGATACTCAGATTACTAATTTAGCAGCGCAGCATTTAATGCACTTCCTTCAAAAAATATGAGAAGTGTTCGGTTCAGGTTTCTTACAAAGACAGGAAAAGATATCTGCAAGGTGGTATAAGGATGATAAAACTGAAATTCCAGAAAAATTCATTATTCCAAATTATGTCTCAGTTCTGTTGCAATATTCAAGTAAGTAATCTGTTATAAAATGCTTTCACTTAATTTTAATAAAGATGTAGACAAAAATACAATTTTTATTTTATGCTGGAATAGTCTGTACTTAAAATGATATGTACAATTAAAGTAAAAAGGTATTTTGAGAGGTAAAAGAAATGTTTTTAAATGCTTGTTGCACAGATATCTCACCTAGAATATGTTTGTAAGAGCAAGTCCGATACTATGAAGGAGCTTCAGCAGAGCCAGAAAGAGGCTTTTAGGAAAATGGCTGAACAGATGAGAGCACGGGAAAGCTGTTGGCAGAAACAAAAAAAGTACCTGGAACAGCAGTACTTAGGTCTCCTTGGGGAAGTTTGTGCAAGGGCACAGGTATGATGCTGTGAATGTCTGGTTTCTTCATTTTTTTTTTTCCTTGCAGATATTTCATGGATTATTTCAGTAGTTTAAGATCCTAACCAGTTTAAGTTTTTTGGGGGGGAATTTTGGTATATCTTTAAAATGAAAAAAAAAACCCAAACAAACCAACAAGGTGCTAGTATTAACTTCAGTTGTAATAAGAAATGAATTACTTTGCTAAAACATTCCAGAAATTAATCCCTTAGTTTGTTCTAGCAGTTACAAGTGGGTTTTTTGAATAATTTTATAGGGCAGCAGTTACTTTTCCAATATCAATACATTCCAAAGACTCTGTAGAGTAACAGCAAAGTAGTGTCATGTGAGATTAAATTTAGGTGTATACATTCTGACCTTAAGAGCCAATCAGCAGTTACAGTGGTAGTCTCCAACAGTATTAAAGGACTTAATTATACAGATACTACAGTGAGCAGTGGTTCAAAAGTGTAAGGCTGTTGTCGCCGATAGTTAGAAAAGTTACTTGCAATCTAAAATTTTCACTATTATACTGCAATCACAATTCACTGCCTTTACAGTCCCACTCCTTTTTACATGTTTATGTTTACAGTGTGAAATAGAGTAAATAAGAGATGTCTTGTTACTTGTGAGTGCCACCTGAAACTTACTTCATCAGAACACTGTATGTGACTCAGATTTTGGCCTTGCAAGTATTTGCACTCTGAAAAACGTTTATGAATGAAGTACTCTCTAGACAGAGCAATTTATGGTAATTTCTTGGGAATTAGTTAAAGTCTTGTATCTGTTTTTTGCTTGATATTTACATTTCACATTAAATCTTGGCAATGTTAAAAACATCCCTGTGAGTGGAATAAGTGGCATCAAGACCTATATTAAGTTCCTCCAAGATCCTTTAGTTTAATTCTCTGAAATCATTGCCAACAAAAAGAATGATGAAATGAGGAAGCTTATTTTAATTTCAAAAAATGCTTTTCCTTCCTTTCCCTTCCTGGAATCTATAGGGTCCATGGATATCTGCTGTTAAGGCTGTCCTAATCCTGATTGCTTGATTTTCATAAGACTTTACTGTCTTTTACCTATTGCATTTTGCACCTTTTAGCCATATTTGTGTGCAAGATCACTGCTCTGTTGGATCAGAGGTGTGCAGACAGACTAATGTAGCCTTACGTGGAAAAATGTGCTACAAGTTACAGAATGTCTTCAAAGGGTCTTTTAGATATTACTGTGTGCCAATGTCTACATAAAGATACAGAATGCAGTATTTAAATTTTATTAACAAGCTTTAGTAATTAGATTTTATAGAAGATGTATAATAAGTGTAAGTGGAATATAATTTGTGTTTAGTTGTACAGTTGTGGGTCTCATTACTCTAGGACTTTTATTCTAGCACTATAAGGAAACTTCAGCAATTTGCTGTATTTTCCATCCAAATATCTGAACATTAATGACAAGCAGTTCAATGACCTAATCTCTCGCAGGTGTTAGTTCCTTTCTAGAAAGGGAAGATGAGTGATTTTTGCTGTCCTGCACCAAGCTAATGGTACATTGTGGGATACATCCTTTTGTTTATAATTTTGTCTTCAGCTAGTGTTCTGTGCCTTCTTCTAGACATTTTCTCCTCAGACCTCCTGTTTTGAGACTTTCTTAATTTTTCCAGTTGTTGGAAAATTTCTGAAGGCAAACTAAAGACTGTAAATTCAGACTCTTAGAAGTTAACTGAAAGCCCTAGCTGCACAGCAATATGAGTAATGTATCTTGGAAATCATTGTTTTGGTTTCTTAGAGTTAGGGCTTTTCAGAACGGTCTCCTTATGATTAAAATGTAATATTGCAAAATTTGGGTATTTCAGTAGCAGGGAGACCTGCCACCACTTCTGTCCCCAGCCAGTACTTTTCAGGGTCCCTTACACCAATATAGGCTCTATAGATGTTAATAAGTAGTAGTTCACAGCTGTTACTGTAGGTCAGATGGCTGGTGTAATCAGAAAGCAGTTTCACTGTATTTCTGTAGGGCAGAAATTCCCAGAGTGGCCTTATCACAGATCAGCAATAAACAAGGCACACTACAGATACCACTTTTCTTTGTCTGTAGTCTCCATGCTTGGAGAGTCAATGGGGCTTAAAACGTGTATCATTTTCCCCTGCCTTTTGTAGTAGGGGTGCAGTCCGCTTGAATTGGTAGTGTGCCATTTTGAAAATGTTACTCTGCCTGTTCCTTAGCCTCACACAAATTATTTATTCAGACTGTGCACAGTCTCATAGGAAATGTCCTCTGAATTTTAACTATCAGTTATTGTTTGTTTATTATATAGACATTTATTAATCTGTCCTCCCCCCCCCCTTTTTTTTTTGTGTCAACCACTTAAAATAGAAGGGTTTTGTTCTGATATGCAAAAAACATGTTGTAGGAGAAAAATCCTGTGCCTATTTAAAAACCATTAATTTCAACAGAAAAATAAAGGGATTGCTAAATAATAAAGGAGAAAAGCCCTCTTGAGAGGGAAAAAAAAAAAAAAGTTTTTTTTTTTTTTGGTTGGTTGGTTTTTTTTGGGGGGGTTGTGCTTTTTTTTTTTTTTTACAGCAAGGCAGGTGAGTTAGTTAAAGGCTGTGGTATCTTGCAATTGTATCAAAAGTCAGTGCAATCAGTGCCAAAGGAGAAAAAGTCCAAGTAACTATCCTGTTCCTGACCCATCAAGTGTCTTTGATAGGCTTGTTTTGTCCATGTACTTAAAACATAGGAAAGAAATGGAGGACAGTACTGTTGATGTTTATTAGATGTATAGATGTATGTTCTGTAGGAAAATAAAACAGCTGAAATACAGGAGAAGCTTTTGAAGTCACAGTATCGTTATATTTATATTTTCCAGTTTTGTTTTGTTGGCAGATTAAAGGGTAAGGACCCAGTAAGATGTAGGATCAAATGGTGCTGCTAGTAGTACCTGCATTTTTGCTAAGAATTCTTGGAACCTCCCAAGTGCTACAACCCAGTGAGCTCCTACAAAGCTCAAACACCAAAGAGAACCAGCTTGCCAATGTTTAGGAAAAGAACTCAGTGTCCCTTTTAATACCTTTTAAGATTGAAAGAAAACACTAGAAACTGTGGGATAAGAAAAAAGCAATTATTAGCTGGTGAAAACAAGGTGTGTTTTCTTACAAAACTTCTACATTTCTGTAGTCAGACATTGCCTTGTTAACTTTTGCATATTACCATATAGCAATAAGCATAAAAACATTAAGCTTTTTTAAAAAACAAGCTTTGCTTAGCCAGAGCACTGAATACTGGTGATGCTGCCCAGCAGCCCTCTAGGGATCACATTTTGTTTACTCAGATATTGGCCTTTCACCTGTGATGGCCAGAAACCATAAGTTGTTGCCTAAGTTCAGTTTACCTTTTCAGTTCCTTCCAGTCATGCTATCTGGGATTTCTTTTCTGTAAAAATCAAACACTGTAAATAATGCAGTAGCACTGAAAGTACTGTACATGTTCGTACTTAATTTTAGAATAGAAAAGTGACATGAGGCCTGTAAATTGCATTTTGTAATTAAACTTTTCAGTTACCTGCTCTATTTTTGCATTACTGGGAGTATTTTAATAACACTAGAAATTGTTCCTCTTCCCAAAAAACAGTAAAATATTTGTTTGGTTAAAGACATTCTGAACTGACTAGAGTATATGTCTATAGAAGCGTGGAATCTTTCATTTCCATTCAAGGTTTTTTTTTTCACCTGTTGTGCCTGAGGGATGGAGGAGGGAGAAGAAACTAAGGTGCCCTCTTTATAATTTGCTTGGGACCTGTGCCAAATAGAACACATGGGAATGTGACCAGATGACACCATTTCACTTCTCTTTTGGTCACTGCTAACGTGAATAATCTCACCCCATTTTTATTAAGCTCTATAAGGTCTAAGAGAGGTTAGGTGAAGTGTAGCATAATCCTTGTCATTCTATTCATGTTTTCCTTATTGTGTCCCTGTATTGTAACTGGATCATAAGCATTTAACTTGAGCTTGTGGGTTCTTTCGGAACAGTGCCTAGATTTTCCTGTCTCATTATACCACTGGATCCTATTTAAATGTAACCTCAAGTAATTGTTCCATTCACAGAGGGCTGTCATGCATGAAGAAGCCTCTCTTAAGTTGCTGACATCCCTATGTAGTGTGTTGATTCCTATTCAAGAACTTCATGTTATGAAAAGCAACCAATCTGTATGATCTAACCTTAGTCCTGGCTTTCCTCAACTTCCTAGTGTCTTCATTTTGCTAAACTGGTTTACTGTTGTGAATGTCCCT